AGGATACAAATTAGATAGGGTTTATCATGCCTGTCTCTCTGAAGTAACATGATTTCATAAACAACAGTGAGTATGTGTATTCCCTATACATTCTCCCTACCCGTACTTCCTAGGTCTTGATGACAATCCATATGACTATCCATCTGGAAAGACTGATATTCTGACTTATTGTCTTTCTGTAATTAATATAAAAAATGTTAGTGACCAAGTTGAGCACCTCAGTTACATTCCTTATGCCATGGTTTGCTTACGTCATGCCGACCTGTTTGGGAATTCCTGTGTCCTTATGGATTTGACCTCCTATTTCTTGCTGATTGGTGTTTTGTTTGTTTTTTGGGGGGAGGGACAATCTCCTTTTCCCTATCAATTTGGTTCAAAAAGATTATTATATGAAATTAGAAAATTCCTGCTGTCTCAGTATAGGAGCACATACACATACACATGTTTTTAAATATAAAATATCACAAGTAAGCTTAAAACCTGAGCTCATCCTGATAAGGATATCCAGGAATAAGAACCCTTGTCAGCTAAAATCCATTGACAACATTTGTTACGGCGACTATTTATGATGGCCATTTCCAGTTTGGTTTGCAGTAGAAAAGGCATGTTCAATTCATTTCAGATGAAGAATGGGTATATTCTAGGCTAGGAATACAAATGTTTTATATGTCATTGTATGTAAGAGTAATGTTTGTTTTTTCTCTCTCCAAGCAACACCAAATGGAGACACAACATGAAATTAGATGCTGCTGAACTTCTTATTTAATTCCCAAAAAAGAATCCAGGTCAACAGAGATGCTGTGACTCAGCAAAAAATTTTGAGTATATATTAGGTGCAAAATCTTAGCCTACACAAATAATATCAACTCTGCCTCCATATATGGTGCCTAAGAGTCTGTGACCCTATAGCTTATGTAATGCAAGTTAGCCCTTTCCTTGACTATTCTCTTTTATGGGCCCTTGATTCCTAATATAACAGCCTTTTTTCCCTCAACTAAATATAAAGTTCTCCTAACGGGTCATGATTTGGGCTGCTAGCTGCAAGGTCAGCAGTTCAAAAACAATAGCTACTTAGAGGGAGAAAGACGAGGCTCTTTGCTCCATAGAGATTGACAGCCTTGGGAACCCCAGGGGACAGTTCTATTTGGTGCTTTAGGGTCGCTGGGAATCAGAATCAATTGGATGGCATTGAGTTTGCTTTTGGGTGGGAGGTGCAGGACCTGGACCATCTTGGCACCAGAGCTGGGGTAGACTTTGGGCTGCATGGATCAGCCTCAGCAATATGATATAGGGTCACTGAGTTCAAATCCACTCAATGGCAGTAGGTTAGGGCAGAACTTAACACTGGCCAAGCGGAATTTGCCCAATGCTATTACATAGGAATTTCTTTCCATGTCCTGTATTTTATATGTCAAGTCTACCCAATGATTTGTTCTAAAATCAAAGCTTGTTTACATTTATGCTATTTTTTATTTCATGGGGGAGAGGACCGGGAGACTATGTTTTAATGTTCCATTAAAACAGGCAATGGAACAAAGAGAAGATTTTGATAATAATAATTTGGGGAAATAGTAAGGCTAAAATAATTAGCTGAGTTTTACTCTACACGTGCGGTCATGAGCATGTTGTTGTCCGCGGCCGTCAAGCTGGCTCCAACTCATAGTGACCCTGTGGCAACAGAGAGAACATCGCTTGTCCCTGAGCCTTCCTCGCCATTGCTCTGATGTCGGAGCGCCTCCATCGTGGCAGACACTGTGTCCGTCCGTCTTGTGCAGTCTTGCTCTTGGTCACTACCCATCTGCTTTACCAAGCATGGTATCGTTCTCTAGGGGCTGGTCTCATGCCTAGTGTCATAACAATTCTAGACCGAGTGAGCATCCATCATACAAAACACTACTATGTCCTGATTGCTCAAGGGCAAAATGTTGGCACAGGGAAGTTCTACTTCGTTAGACTCTAAAAGTACTTCAATGTAGGATTGACCAATGAGCCCCAGGAGCAGCGTTAGGGAAAGCACGAGTCTGTTTACACTTTCCTTTCATGAGTCCCATGGCTGTATTTAAAAATCTTCCAGTTATGAAGGTCTTGTTGATCACAGAAGCTGAGATCTGCACCGTGCATGGCGACATAACATTTCCCTTTGAATTTAGTAGCACCATGTTCTCTCAGTCCACACATTAGGGTACTGAATGAGGACGAGGGGGTGCTGTCGGCCCTCGAAGCAGGGATGGTATTTACCATGAAGTTCTGTGCTCTAGCCAGTTTCTCCACCACTGCTGGGTGGTGCTCAGAGACGGGTGCCTCCCCCCACTTTATGAGAGGGGTAGTCTAGTCACCACCCTCAATCTTCCGACTTGCTTCTGCCGCCCTCAGGAAAGGCTTTGCCTTCCTCTGCAACATAGATTCTTTTTCAGCCCGAATTTAGACGATGGCTCAGTCTTTTCCTTTTTTATTAAACACTAACTGGTCTTTATTATTTTCCAAATTCTGCTAATATAGTCTACACAATACAGTTTGTCTTCTCATGGTATCGCCTGGCTTCACTCAGTTCACGAGCCCCATGAAATCACATGCTTAGATTTTACGTTCCTGTGCTGTGCGTGTGTTCGCTTCCTTTCTTCCTTTCTGGAGGAGAGCTATGTCTTGATTCTAGTTCCTAATTTCCCAAAGGGTTAAGAACTATTTTTACATAAACTGATATGGAATTCCAAAATATTTTTTTTGAGAGGAATGGAAAGGAATCTGAGGGTTTTTTGGTTTCTATATGTTTTTCGTTTGACTTCCTGCTATGACATCCCTGACAGATCACCTTTCAGCTTGTTTGAATAAATTCAGTGTCAAGGAGGTGGCTACTTTGTGACCTAGCCTATCACCTTGGTGGATGGTTTTAACTGTTAATCAGCAATTCCTCATATTTAGCAAAGCAGTTTTCTACCATGAAAGCTCTTCTACACAGATGTGGACTACCTCACACATGAATGGCATTTGCCCACGGAAAAATGATAAATTAATGTGTGCCTGGAGGTGTAAAGTTTGCTTTCCCAAACTGAACCATATTCTTTTTAAAAAATATCATTTTATAAGGGGCTCATACAACTCTTATCACAATCCATATGTCCATCAATTGTGTAAAGCACATCTGTACATTGATTGCCCTCATCATTCTCAAAACACTTGCTCTCCACTTAAGCCCCTGGCATCAGCTCCTCATTTTTCCCCTTCCTCCCCGCTCCCCCCTCCCTTGTGAACCCTTGATAATTTATAAATTATTTTGTCATGAACCGTATTCTTTTATGCCCCCCCCCCCACCCAAACCATCGAATTGTCTGTGGAGGCTCAGCGATGGTGGGAACCACCATCTTGGAATAGCTGGGTGGTTATTTTCTGTAGTGTTGAATCCTTTCCCCTTACTCTGTCCCCTGGGAACGAGGTCATCAAACATGGAGATACGGAAGGGCTACTGTCTTCTGTGTGCCAAGTCACTCTGATGCTTTGTATTTTCTTCTCCTGTTGGGCTGTGGCCATATTGAAATTGTGATGGCAATCCTGACTATCAGATAGATTACTTACCAAGCGATCGGCCATGCTGCATGGTAAGGCTGGAACTGAACGAGCTGGGTAGAGAGATGGAGGTGGAGGGGGAAAACGGCCTGTGGTAGTAGCTCATTGGACTCACAGCGTCACAGGACTTTCCATTCACTGTTATCTGGCTCTGGGGAAATTGGAAAAGCATCCGTTAAAGTAAACATGGTAGGTCCCATTCTTTTAGATGACTATAGATTACTCCCACTCACCAAACAATGGCCAAATTTTATTTACTTGGGAAAGTGATGTCTAGAAGGACAAGGTACACTTCCCCCTGCCACCACCCAGCGCTTCCTCTATATTTCTGTCTCCGTGAAAAAACATTCTTTTTAATATGTCAGAGGGTACCAGAGATGATCAGGATGAACAGAAACAACTCATCCGTGAGCTTGACACTCTGCCAACAGAGATGCTGAGCCACATCAGTAGGCTTCAGGAATTAGCATATATTCAGAATGAAATGAATATGGAGAGTGAGTTTGCTCTGACAATTATGGCCTAGCTAGTCAGGGCACTGTCACACTGCTCTGCCTGCTTCATTCCAAATAAGCGTTCTTGGACATGATGTCAGGGGTGGGCGCTTAACCTTGGTCAGGGACAGCCAGGGGTGGATGTGTATTTGCTCAGCAAGGGGGCTACCATGAGGGAAGCAGTGTTTGGATTTATAGGTCAAGAAGCAACTTGTTCTAGAAGAAACACAGCTTGCAGAGCATGAGAAAGACATGATGAACTACTGGCTTCTCTCTTTTAGCACATTCTGAACCTGTGGTTTTGTAGAAATGTATTGCTGTGGTTATTTTAGAGCTGAGTATTTTATATCCTCAATGGTAGGTCAAGCATTTTGTTGGAGATAGTTATATATACATTTCTCTTGCTCTTTTTAAAACAAGTTGCGACTTGTTGCTAATAATGATAGCTATTCAGTAGACACATATTTTAATTAAATCAAATCAGCTTAGTTCACAGAGGTTGGATCCCCCTTTGTTAAGCACTCTTATCTATGCACAATGCTCCCTAGGAATTGTGGAAATGACATAGTGCATGCAAATGAGATCCAAAAAAGTTAGTAAAAGCATTAGTCAAAACGCAGTCACAGCTAAAGGCACACAAGCACAAACATGCACATAGAGGACCATGATTTGCAAACCTTCTATAATTCTCCAAAAGCAAAATAAACTATTACCCAGACCTGAAACATGGATCAACAGTCAACTGCACCTGTATGCACGCATGATTTCATCTTCAAGCACACACATTTTCAAATGATCTAGAATCAATTCTATTTCATTACACCACAGCCATACCACAATTGTCCTAACATCAATAAGCATTTTAACACAATGACTATGCTTACTAAGTTCATCTTCAAGTTGTTTTAGAAATTGCTGTCTTATCATCCCACTCACTGCAATCCAGCCAGTTCTGACTCAGAGTCCCAGTAGCACAGAGTAGAACCGCCCCAGGGATTTCTGAGACTGAACATCTTTAGGGCAGTAGAATGCCTCCTCTGGCTGATGTTGAGGTTAGCAGCCCCAGGGAATCAACTATGCTACCGGGGATCCTTAGGTCGTCAAGAGTTGGGAACAATTTTACAGTAAATGGTTTTAAACTTGAGGAACCATGGCGCTGGGGGCAATGTTGAAATATTGGCCATTTGAATCCACTAAGTTGGGCTATGAACCTCAAGGTCAACAGCAACCACCAGCCACTCTCTAGAGAAAGATGAGCCTTTCTACCCTTGTAAAGAATTCCAATGGGAAACCCACAGGGGCAGTTCTACCCTGTCCTGTAGGGGCACTATAAGTCCGAGTAGACTCGATGTCAGTGAGCCGAGTTTGAGAAGCTGACCTTCAGGAGAAATGCAGCAATCTGCTGCTTTAAAGACTGTAGTCTTGGGGACTGTCAGAGAGTGCTACTCTTCTTCTAAGACCTCTGTGAGCCGGCATATACTCCATGGCAATGGGTTTCATATTGTGTGCGCGCGTGCGTGTGTGTGTGTGTGTGTGTGTGTGATTTGTTTTAAACTGAAGCAAGTCCACCTGAATCCTATTTGATGCGTTCAGTAATATTGATTAGATATTTATCAAAAGGAAACACTGAAAGTAGATTTACAAAAATGTGTGTGCTAACCCAGAAATTTACTAAAATAATACCATATGAATACAAGAACGTATACTTTAAAGTGAATTATTAGGGAAAGCATCTCAAGGAAAATCTAAGTGCAATTTAAACTGCTACTTGAAATTAATTCCAGATATAGTTAGTTCAAATAGTGTTTATTAGACTATATAAATCTGACTCCTAAAACAGTTTAAAAAACAGAAAAATAAATAGGTTAGCACGTAAATTCACATCCTATCACTTATCTCTGCCATTTAATTAAAGACCTTGATAATATTCCTTCAAATCTTGAAAGATAAGGAGCACTTAATGTAGAGAACACTGTGAGGCAAGGCCCATGCTTGCTGAGCCCGCTACTAGTACCTGTGCCGCCTGCGCGGGCTGAGGGACCCTTGGTTGTGTTCGCCATGGCTGCAGCCTCACTGAATGGAACATCTTTACTACAAACAACCATTGGGTGGATATGAAACCCAGTGCAATTAATGGTATCCTTTCCTATGTTTGCTGTGGCACCTTAGAAAACATGCATCTAATATTTCGCCATATATGAAACTGACAGATTTATGACCTTGATAAAGAATACTATGCAATACAAAGGACATTTTTGGCTATGACAGAGCTTGTTTGGAAATTCATGATGACATCATTTTTAGACATAAATTCCCAGTTTGGACGTGCAGTGATGTGATTTTTAAAGTAAAGCCATGATCAGTAAACCCTTTATATGCAATTGAAAATCTGCACTATGCACTTTTGAAGCATTTTAGTTCATAAATCATTCGCTGAGGTTTCCATTTGTCGTGGAGACATATTTAGATGAAAAACCATTTACAGAAAACATATAAGTGGAAATAAAGATCGACAAATCGATAAGTACATTTATAACCTACTATACTGGCATGGTTCAGGAGCTGTAGTTTCTAAAAACTCGTGGGGCTGCATTTCCATAATGACAATGTGACTTTTTACATCCTTGATTCCTCTAAGAAAGATGGATTTACAAGAGGTAGGTGTTAGGGAGGGGGGGGCAGGACACATGAACTCATGCCTTCAGTAGTGATACCTGTAGAAGCATGGGTCTATGAGCTAACTATTCACACGGGACACATTCACAGGAGTTTCCGAGCTAGAGTTTAATTTACCAGCCGTTAATAAGGTTACAATTTTTTAAGTGTTAAGACTTTCTCTATAGTTCATTCATAACAATCTTATATATACTTGTATACATTTCTGAGATAACGTCTCCTGAAGGCAAATCCCTGTAAAACACATGTACTATGACAGCAGTGCCGTGGAAATGTTAACTCATTCGGAAATGAACGAAGAGATAAAATGGACGTTTTCAACACTAAATCAGCCTATGCGGATGACAGCAATGGATGCCGCTGGTAGACTGTGGAGTGGGTTTACCAGACATCATCGATGCAAACACAAATGCTCAGTGGCACTATGGGCTGGCAGATACATAATGGAGGCCAAGGAAGGGAGGATCATTACATGAGTGGCAGCAGGGGTGGTTAAGGCGGTGCCTTCTGGGACAGTAGCCCGTTGACCCCGCTTGGGGAGGGTGTCTCCGAGCCGTCAGTGGTGTCAGAGTTCCTGACCTGCAGCTCATCTAGCATGGCTGTGGAAGACTTGCTCTCAGAGTGGGAGGAGTCCGTGGGGAGAGAGCCACAGCTGCAGCTGCTGTACGGCAGGCTTTCAGGGAGTAAGAAAGGCTGCCTACATTCATTGCGTGCAAGGGCTCTGGGTTTATGCAGCCACGAGGGGCCCAAGTCACCAGGAGGTGCTGGCAGGACAAAGGATGCAGGCTGGAGCCAGTCTGGTGAAAAGGTGGCCCCCGTATGAGGGACCACAGAAGGAGGGCGCAAAGAAGTGGCTTCTGGTGTGGTCTGACTGTGTGTCCTGTGAAGCATTTACCGCCAACACATGGGCGGTTAAGGTCTGCTTTCCCAGCTGAGTTTGAGGAAAAATCATAAGAAGAGATATAAATTACCCAATCGATAAAGCTATCTCTTTCTGCAACGCAGCATCGCAGGCAAAATATCCGTTTTATTTGCAAGCACTTTCGGAAGGACATTCAGATGGATTAGATGTCAACCACACATTACACAGAAAGCATAAAACTATGAAGAATGCTGTGTTATCTTTTTGGAAACACGGCCAAATTTCACACTGCATTACAGTGTCATTTTGAGTGAGGGCTTCAGAGAGTTGGCTTAAGAAGAGTCTAAATATATATATATATATATATACATTTTTTTTTCTCTCTCTCTCAAATTTTGTTTTTCTCGTGGCAGTGAAGTGAGAGCAGGTGTCTATTGGTGGGGAGTAGGAACCTCGTGGGCCTTGTGGAGTGCATGAGTCAGCAGTTCTGACCTCACCAAATGCTGACAGAGGAAGATGAGGCTTTCTGCTCCGGTAAAGACTTACAGCCTCCCTCAGAGACCCAAGGGGGCAGCTCCAGTCCGTCCTCCGGTATTGCTGAGTCAGAACCGACTCCATGGCAGTGAGTTTAGCTTGGTATTGGTCAACAGGGTTGGTTCTCATTTCCTTAGAAATAGCCTTGTGGCATAACGCTCCCTCTTCCAAAATACACTCAGAATATAAATTAGTTTGGCCTGTTTCCGTGCACTATAAAGCATCATCCAACTAAACACAAGTACATTTTGGTTCTTAATCATTCACTGGGCTTGTCCTTTGATTTCACTATAAAATATTAAGCGAATTGACCTTTAAAATAACCTAGCAGTACAAACAGAAAGTTCTTGTATGGGAAAATAAAGTGCAAAAAAAATAAAATCACCCACTGAAATGGTTAGCATGAGTTCTAGTTGGTTAGGACTGCTCTCGGTTTTTAAATCTCAGGTAAAGGAGAAAGAAACTGGAAGTGAAATTGAGGTTTATTATCTCTAAGGTGATGATCCCGAAAACCCATAGCAGGTTTTCTTACCCGCCTGTTATCACCTTGATAATAGCTCTTTCCTCAAGTCAAATATGATGACA